CCATAAGTCTACTGGAGTTAATTTTAGGATAAACTACAGAAAGTGTCTTAAAATGCCCGAAGGAAATGTATACATTGTGAGCACTTTTTGCAGGGTGTATATAGTGGGATAAAGTGATTTCTAATGAGAAATTTAGTATGCATCAAGAAAATTGTTGCAGATTCATACATTCACTGTTCAACACTTCAGTGACAGTAGTCTAGTCGACTTCCATCAGGTCGTTGTTTCAAGTGTATGAAACCAATGATTTAATAATTTTATTTAGTACTTTAAAAATTATTTAATAGTTAGATATTGAATTGTTAAAAAATTCTATATTAAGTTGTTATTCTTTTGACCATCTTTCTTGTTTAGATCACATGGGGATGAGATATATGCTATAGAAAGGCTGTGTATTATATGTATTGAGAAGCCCTTCAGTACTTCAGTTAATGCTTTCTCATTGCACACTACTATTCGATTCACAGGCGTTAAGTTCTTCCTTAGTTTTTCTTTTTGAGAAGTAGAAGAACTTTAATTTTTCTCTGTAATTTGGTGCCACGATAACCACAACCTATGGGTTATTCTGGACTTCAGATCTTTAACTGGCACATGTCATGGCTCAGATCAGGGAAGCTGGAGTTCTTCTGTCACCTCCCATCTTGTAATGTCACCCTTGCATACATAGTTTTCAGACTTTATTGATACTGACCTCTTGTTTTCCTCTGTAAAATGTGTAATTTCTGATTTTTTGCAATTACATTGAATTTTAGAAAATGAAAGTCTTGATGAAAATAAAAGCATTTCCTTAGGGAAAATTAGATTTTTCCCAGTAATGTAATTCCCTAATAATCTAATCCCAAACATTTTCTGTATGGGTCCAAAAATCATTATTCAGGAGTTGAGTTTTTCATTTTAATTCTAGGTGTAATGAGCAATTTTCCATAATCATATGGATAATATTGTGAAAGAGATTATACATAGTATCTATATAATTCTGAAAAACTCATCAATAAAATTTACTTTATAAAATTCCTTAAGACTGTCTACTATCTGTTAACAGTAGTAAGTTCCAGTGTAAAGAGGTCTCAACCCCCTATTTGTTAATGTCTTTGTTACTAGATAGAAAAATACTAGTAAGATTTTTATTTTATTGCAGTTGTGATAAAAAGTTCTCTGCTTAATTGCTTCTCGCTTTTTATTCCTTCTAATTGGACAAATAAAAATTCATTTTTAATGCCTTGAATTAGTATTAAGTATTCTATATACTGAGTTACAGAATGTATTAGTTTCTTTAGCTCAGTGTTTTCTAAGTTGGGGTTTTGTAGAAAAAAAGTTGTGCATAGCTTGTAAACTTATCTACCTAATTGGTGTTTTAACTTATGTATTGTTCGTAGAGTGTAAAATCATTTGCCTACACATGTATAACCATTATTTGATTTCTCAGAACTACTTCTAATTATCTTGGTCCCTTCCACATGAATCCAAGGAAAAAAACCTGTCCTTAAACGCAGCCCTAAAGAAGCTCAAAAGATCTGTGTTAAATTCTCTAACGGAAGTGAATGGAAAATCCCGTGTTGCCTGTCCCTGATCGTGTAATAGTTTTACATATTCAAAATTAATAACTGCATTTGGTTGAAACTACAGATGCATGTGTTTTAATGAATCTGATACATGCTTAAGATAACACTAATCCCAGCAAGTAGATATTCTTAATATGTGCTTAAGCTGTTCTGGGGAGTAGATGTGTTTTGTCTCTTTCAGATTTCAGTTTGTGTATATGTATTTATCTTGTTGTCATTTCTTTAATGCCTCTGAGAAGTTTATAAGAAAGGTAAGTAGTATCTTATGTAACTTCAAATATGTATTTGCAAATGCTGTGTTTTTACTTATTCATAATAAAAAATAGGTAACAATGAGAGTCTTTGACAAAGAACAACATTTCTTCCCCTGGCAGATATTTTGGTATTGCTGTACCTACTCATTATTATGATTTTTCCCCAGCATATGCATTTCATAATTTATTGAAATATTTGCACTCATTCCTTGTACTGTATTAACTCTTCATGTTGTTGCATAATTGTGATCATAGTCCACACAGTGCAATGGAGTTCTGACCTTCTCCATTGTGTTCTGTAGGCAGCACAAGGGAGTGGTCACAGAACTCTGCTGTATGGCCATGCTATACTACTTCGACATTCATTTAGTGAAATGGTAAGTGAAAAAGCACATGCACAGAATGAGTAACATGAAACTCATGTAAATGTAATTTCACCAAAATAAAATATATATACATTTGGAATAATGTTCTTTCCAAGTCATCTTATGTTCTAGATTAAAAAAATATGAATAGTTAAGAGTGTTTCAACACAACAGAAATGTTTAAATTTACATTCTTCATCTGACTCAGAAATGTAGCTGAAAAGCTCCTTTGGGCTTGGTTTATTTCTGTGTCTTTAAGGAATCCATTTTTATGATAATTCCATTTAAAAGTGCTGCTATTGCAAATTAATTTGTTCTGATATATGTTATTTTTTCCCATCATATGTTATAGGATAAGGTGTTTCATTTAACATCCCATAGTTCCCAGGCATTATCATGACAAACATACTGTCTTCAGGATGCCTTGTATAAATTTTGTTTCGCTACGTTTTACAACTGGAAGATTTCAGCTGTTTTGAACCTTTGACTTATTAGGGCCCATGTAAAAACACCTAAGAGAAAGTTGAAAAAATGAGAAGTAAAGCCAACAGTTTCCCTCCTTTTTCCTGTACTAGAAAGCTCTACATTAATATTTAAACTTTGTTACTTAGATTTATGAACCATACAAATTGTAATTGCCTTGATATACCAGAGTTGCAAGTATGATTACTGCCTTTTGGTATATGTGTTAAGTTTTCATGAAGCAAACCTGTTACGGTAATGCTGCAATTAGACGTTTGCCTGTTCCTGTCTGATGAGCTGTGTGAAATTAGAGAAGGTAGGAGCTAAATTGCACAGAGAATTATGTGCTGAAGTGGAAAAGGATTTTGATGTTTTAAAGTCAGGAAGAGCTTCTGTATGAATAACAACATCATGCCTCACTAATTAAAAAAATTTAAACACAGGCTGATAGTAAGATGGAGTAATGTGAATGTACTCACTTGGCATGTTTATTAATGTATACTATTGGGTTTTTGTTTTCAATAACTTCACTGTTTTGCAGTATTTGACATGTTTAACATCATCAAGATCCCAGACGGATAAACTTGCATTTGATGTGGGACTACGAGAAAATGCAGCAGGTATGGCAAGTTATTTTTGAAAGAAAATGTGGCACACATTTCTAGTTTTAGAAGAGGCATTGAGATTAATGTAACAGTAAGCTTAGGAGTGGCATGTTTATGTGTTCATTAGAAATAAAATGGCCAAAAAAAATGATGACTGTCAGTACTAATGACTCTCAGCAAACTAACTGACTTTATGTAAGAACATGAGAGAGCCTTGCAATCAAACTGAGTTAGCACAATTGCAATAACACTGGTGCTAACAGTCAAAGTAAAAAATTCTGTTGAATAAAATGAATTTGATGTATTTGTTTTGGTTTTGTGCTTTCACACTTTCAACAGAATTAGAGTATGGAAAAGCCATATATTGGTGCATTCACAATATATGTTATAACTATGCAACTAAAGAAGTTTGCAATTTATGATGCAGGAAAGCAGAAAAAATGTAATGAGCACATTGTTAAAAGAGCTGAAGAAAGAGAAAAACATAAAATAGAGCAAAACAATAAGTGGAGGAGATACAACATGGCATTATCGGAAAGTTTTAAAATCTAATTAATTGGTTTCTGAGTGTACTACCAGTAATAGTGCTATTAAGAGAAAAATAGTAAAAAACAAAAAATTGTGCTTCTGTAAAAGCACATGTATATTATGAGATGCCACTATGTTAAATGAATTTAAAAACAATTTAGCCACAAAGAGCCACAACTAGTTTTGCATGCTGCTGTGTACATGGTGTTAATCATTACTGAAAGTGAGGAGTACTCATCAGAAAGTAACAGATGACTCTGTAATACCCAGGCCAAGACTTTCCCTTGAAGGGAAAATCTAAGTACCTGTATACACACCTCATCAATGTGAGGCTTCAAAAATAGAGATGCCCGTTGTGTTAATATAAACCTGTGCTTTCTATTGCTTTTTTGTTATTTTGAAAATAAATTAAAATGAAAAAACCCTGATTAATAGTTGAGAGGTACTGCCAGTGTATGTGTTAAATCTGTGGGCCATAATCTTTGAAACATTCTTTTCAGACAACTCTATCTACAAAAGTTTCTCTTCTGTATGTGTGAGGTTTGTCTTTCAGTTGTTTCTAGACATACAGGAGGTGTTCTCAGACAGGTATAACCTGTTACTTGGTTACCTTTGATTGTTGCCTTAGATGGAGACCATTTTATTTAGGCATGTTGATAAAGGGAATGTGTGTTTAATATCTGTGAAAATAGTTTCACTGAATTGTGTTGTTACAGTTTCATAGCTTTTTTTTCAGAGTTACTGCACGTGTCTGCTTCTACACATGAGGTGTTGCAATGAATATCTGTAGATGTTTCATTGATATTTGCTTAACTGTGCATATACAAAAATACCCTTGTACACATAGGTAAGATAAAAAAGGCAAGATATAAAGAGTGCTTAGTTGTGTTTCTGCACAGAGGATATTTGTACCTACTTCCTACCTGTAAACCTCATAAACCAAGAGCCGTAATATCACTTCCCCTTGCCTTGCTCCCTCACCCATGAAACTCTCCTAGTGAATCAGCTTCAGCTGCAGGAAGTATAATTCACCTAGCACCTGGCTATTAAAAAATTAATCCCTGAAAGATTTAGCATTTTACATTTTTAGGGATGCAAATTTTATTTATTGTCTTCTCTATAATTGGTTTTGTAACCTTCAAATTTTGTTTTAAGGAGGTTTTACATGAAATATCTTAAGTGACCAAACAAATTTGTGTGCTTTGTCTGATGCTACCAAGTTTGCCTTTGTTTAATTTTCTTATACTTTGCATTGCCTGGTGAGAAAGTTGTATTCAACTTGTTTTCTTCAAGGTCTTAACTAAACTCTGAAGGGCATGAAATTTTGAATCAAATTAGGTAATCTTCCCAGAATTAGTATGTGTGTTTGTGCGTGTGCACAAAGTAATCTGGAATCTTACATTTAATGTGTAGAAAATGTTCTGTGGTTGTTGCCCTTTGACTTGGCTATCTTGTAGTCATATGTTCCGTAGTGCTAGTGGAACTGCTTCCAGATCTGATATTTGTAGTGTAGCAATATTGTGAGGTATTTATTTCAAAATTCTGTATTTTACAACAGAAATTTAGCTTAGAGTGGAAATGTTACAGAAGACTGTGAATTAAATATGACCATTAAGCAAAAGAAGACCTGAAAGGTGATAAATCAGACTGTCAGCAATTTACTGGCACGGAGGGCAGTTCTCAGCACTGTTTTGTAAACAGATAATTGCCTTAAAAAGACATGTAAATGGAAATATCAGCTTCAAATATGACACAGATTGGTTGACAAAATGTTTCAAGGAAAACGAAAGCATTGAAATTGATTGAAATGAGGACTGAGGTGGCTTTATAAGGTGAATGTCTTATAAGACACATTTTTCATTATGACATTTCAATGCTGTATAAAGATATCCTTAAATTTCTTGGCAGTTGTCTGTTTTGTAGACCCGTGATTAGTGCCTCTGTCCTTTAGGTGAGGCGTGCTGGTGGACTATACACCCTGCTTCTAAACAAAGATCAGAAGGGGAGAAAGTTCGAATAGGTGATGATCTTATTCTAGTCAGTGTGTCCTCTGAAAGATACCTGGTAAGTTTGTTTCTTTAGCAAGTTACCAACATGGTGGGAAAATACAAAATGCTGTGAGTAAATGGGCAAAATGGTTGGGATTCTTATGAATTACTTTTTTCTAATCTAGGAAATAATGCCTGGTTATAGTGCACTTTTATTTTTCCTCACTGAAAGGGGAGGGTGGGGAGATGTCCCTCCCCAGAACAAGACTCTTTCCATGGCTTTTTCTCAAGGTGTATTTCAACATTCTCTATCTTGGGAAGTTTTTGTTTCTGTAACTGAAAGATTTCTAAGCTGCAGCTGGAGTCTGCTGAGCAGATTTAGAAAAAATGTCATTTTTTAAGATAGTGACTACTAACTTTTAAAGAATATTTATATATTTACTTTATGATGTATTCTGTTTTGTTGATATATTCGTGTGCTAAATATTTTTAAGTGCATAAATTTCAGTATTTCCTGTTACTGACATCTTTTTTTCAGCATCTCTCTGTGTCAAATGGAAGTATTCAGGTGGATGCCTCCTTTATGCAGACTCTATGGAATGTACATCCTACATGCTCAGGAAGCAATATTACAGAAGGTTTGTCATTTTATTTAGAAATGCATATCATTTAGATGACTTTGTATGCTTTTGATAAAGAATGAAAAGGGGAAAAATTAATCACCCTTAACATCAAAACAAAAAGTTTAATGAAAATAAAAGGAGCTTAAGAGAGAAGAATAATGGAAGGGGTAACAGTGTGATATGAATCTAACAGCTGGTTAAACTGTAGAAAAGCTAAATGAGTGCTGTAACTTTAGAATAACAAAACATTAAAATCTACATGAGAAATGAAGGCTCAGTTTAATTTTGGGGAGTAGGAGCTGCAGAGTAACTGAAGCCAGAAAGGTTAGATTTTGTATAAAATTTTCCTATATCCTAGTCTCTCTGTACAGGGATAACAGAAGAGAGAGAAAGGTACAGGCAAAATTGAAAGCAGTTTTTTCAAAGTTCTTATTGCAGTCTCTCTTCTCTCGCTTGTGGTTTTTAAGGACATTTGCTCAATATCTTTCTGGACTTCAGAGGTGTACATCCTTATTGTCTCTCTGTAACACTCAGTGAAAATGCATTCTCTTAATCAGCCTAAATCCTACATCACAGTAGATACTTGACTGTACTTTACAGTCATGTTTGAGAAGCTTCACCTTTTCCTGAGAAATGTCTTGTTCTGTACTGAAAGGCTCATCCACTCACTATTGCTCCTTATTTCAATGCCATACTTTATCATTAACACTGTCATAGCAAACATTGTACTTTACCTCTGCTGTTCTCTTCAAAGTATCAGCCATCCACATTCATGACTTGAATGTTGTTAAGTCAGGACCTTTTTGTATCACTTGGCTGTAAAACTAATCACTTATGATATAGTAATATACAATATCATAGGACAAAATTTAGCTATAAGATAGAGCACTTCCCTGGGATCAGCTATAGTGAGCCTTGATAAAAGGAGACTACCCAGAGCCTTCTCTCCTCTAGGTCAAACCATCTCAGTTCTCTCAGCCTTTCCTCATGTGTGACATGCACCAATCTCTGAATCATCTTAGTGCCCTTTGCTGTACTTGGAACCCTTATACTGTGTAGCCCAGAGTAGATTTTCTGTGTCAATCAGTTTTCACGACTACTTAGGCTTAAGTGTAGTTGTATATACAATTCTCAAATGGTTTCTGTGAGGGATGATTGTATGTGAAAAGACATAGCAGTCTAGCTCAAGTTGAATGAACAGACTGAGAAAATGGGATTTTCTGAGTCTAAAATTGGATTGAAAATTAAACAGTGTACTTTTTGTGATGCGTGAAAAACTTTCGACAGAGCATAATATCAGGAAAGTTTATTGTTTCACATTCTTTCATTGCTTTGACTTTTGTATTAATTGGCAACAGGATAATTGTCAGTTGTTGTTTTCTTAATTTACATATTTATATTGAATCATCTGCACAGTATGAAAATTTCTGATCCTTCCTCCTTTATATGTGTTCTTTTACTATGCAGTAATTTCCCCTACAAGGTCAGAATGGTTTGGACTGAAGGGCTGATGAATTGTTCTCCTCCTACACCATTTTTGACTTTTCTTTTTTAATGTGAGGCAAAGTGTCTGGTTTTGACCTGTACTCTTTGTGGTAAATGGGTTGGAAAGTTAGCTTCTGTTAAACTTAATCTTCAGAACTGTGAAGTGTTTTTCTGGCCTCTGTCTCCTGCTGCTGCTCTGCACTTTTGATTTTGTCACAAATTGTAAATGTCAGAACAAACTCATGAAACTCATGAAATTATTTTGTATTGAGATCATTTAAGTTGTATTAAGGGGGAAGAAACTTAGTTATTCTATATTTTATTTGGCTTTTACCTAAAGCATTCAATTTTCAAAGCAGTAATTGTTGCAGAATTTAAAATTTTCCTTTTCTGTATTGGAATCCTAATTTGATTTTTAAATTTTAAGAAATTGCTTTCTTTTCATCTTCATTTTCAGAAGAAATATTTTTAAGTGAAAAACACAATATAAAAGAGTATGTTGTCATGTTAATTTTGTTCTTGTTTAATTTCAGTTATGAGTGAGAATTTGAAAAACAGATTTCACCTAGGTCTTCTGAATTTGTAAAAATTTTTTGAGCCTATTTTCATGTTGCCAATATTTAAGCTAATTAGTAAATGAGCTGCTTCTACAGGATATCTTCTTGGTGGGCATGTAGTACGTTTATTCCATGGCCATGATGAGTGCTTGACAATTCCAGCTACAGATCAGAATGATTCACAGCACAAGTAAGTGAAGGTGCATTTTTATATATTTCCTTCTCTCAAAAGTGATACAGATTGTCAGCTGAATTTGAGGTTAGATAAACACTCTTTACAGTAATCTTTAATTAGGAAGTGACATTGTTACAAGAAATCAAAACCTACTAAGCAGAAAATCACTTATGACTTCTTTTATTGCTGAAATTCAAGTAGTTGATTTCCACTGATTTCATCCGGTTGCATTGTGTGTCTTTAATGTGTACTACTATAAGTAGAGGTAAGCAATTGTTAACAGGGAAAATGCTAATGTAAAAAAAGAAATGCTAAAATATAACTGTAAATTTGGCATCTACAATGACTTTAATATTTTATATATTCTGCCCCTTTTTACTAGTTTTCTCAAATTTGACTAATATGTTAAGAGAATTAAATCATATTAGCTAGACTAAATTACTTCTGTATTAAACTTACAGCTACAGTAATTATATATTAAGTTGGTTTACTATTTGAATTTTGTTTGCATATTTTTGCATTTTGCTGTTAATCAAGCAAGCTAATAATTTTGATACACAAAGCCCCTAGCTTTTAATAATCATATTCAACAAATAAGATCTTTATACCCACTACGACAAATAAATTATGCTTTAGATAATGATACCACAAGTAACATTCAGTTATGTCAAGTAAACTTTTCAGCTCTAAGTTGTTCATGTTTACATTTCTGTGGACTAACAATGTCTGCAAAGCCAAAAGAAAACCCAAACTGAATGTCAGAAGAATGTACTTGTTGAGGATTTTTGTACTGCTATTCTCTTCATTTGTGTATAGAAAAAAAATTTGCAAAGCTTGCAGTGTGTATGAAAGTGTACACACCTAGTATAAAATTACTAGCAAATGTATTAGGATCTAGATACTTTGTGTAGAACAGATGACATATGCAGACTAATTTTATAAACAATCTGCCTTAAGGTTAAAATAGATGTCATGTCTTTTCAGTGTGTTCAGAAATGCTGTACTTTGCTACTGCTGTCAGTTATCTAAAAGTAAGATACAGTTAAAACTAAAAATAATCATGGAGTCCTATTGCCTGGTATGAAGTTATTCTTAATATACATTTTATGTGTATTGTTACTGCCTTAAGGTCTGTTTGGTTTGGGTTTTTTTTACAATAAGTAAATAAAGGGTAAAAGAAAAAAATATATGTTTGTCTGAATGAAATCTATGTATTTCCTATAAAATAGGAGAATAATGTGAATGCTATGTTGAACATTTTCAAATGTGAGATAGTGATACAATGTCCTAAGATTGATGGTTTGGAGTTGTCCTGTCTTTTGGATTTATGAGCTGCATAACACACTGTTATGATTTAACCTCAGCCAGCAACCAAACACCACACAGCTGCTCGCTCACTCCCCCTCCAATGGGAATCAGAAGGGAAAAGCCAGAAAACTCATGGGTTGAGATGAAGGCAGTTTAATAGGGAAAGGAAAAGCCACACACACAAGCAGAGCAAAACAAGGAATTAATTCACTGCTTCCCATGGGCAGGAGGTGTTCAGCCACCTCCAGGAGAGCAGGGCCCCATCATGCGTAAGGGTTCCTTGGGAAGACAAATGCCATCACTCCAAAAGTTCCCCCTTCCTCCTTCTTCCTCCCCCTTTATATACTGAGCATGATGTCATATGGTGTGGAATATCCCTTTGGTCAGTTTGAGTCACCTGTCCCAGCTGTGTCTCCTCCCAGGCTCCCATGCACCCTCAACTTCCTTGCCAGCGTGGCAGTACGGAAAGTAAAAGAGACCTTGACTGTGTGTAAACACTGCTCAGCAATAACAAAAACATCTCCATATTATCAACCCTGTGTTCAACACAAATCCAAAACATAGCCCCATACTAGTCATGGTGAAGAAATTTAACTTTGCCCCAGCCAAAACCAGCAAACAGACATAACGCTAAGTTTGTGCTATATCATGGTTATAGAAGTCTCTTTTACATTATCAAGACAAAATGAATACACAAAAAATCCCCAAATAGTAATAAGAAAAGGAGGAAGATGTGTAGAAAATGGTTGTGTTTAATTCTATCATCAGTTCTATGCATTTCATTAGGAGTCATAAAAAAGTTAAATTAGACAAGAGTGATGATTTCTCTTTTCATAGAGCAGAAATCTTAGTCTTTTGAAGGTTTCTATAGAGAATTCTCCTTAGCAATTCACACAGAGACTATTTGCTGCCAAAAATCTCAAGGTCTTTTATTACAGGCCAAATGGGAATGCTTGGGGTGGGTACATTGAACATCAAAAAGGCCATCTTGGCAAAAAAATGAAAGAAAAAAGATGAATGGATGGAAAAAAGTAGATGAAGAAAATGTTATGTGGATGCTCTTGTGAAAAAGCAGCAGTTCTCTTTTACTTGCAGTTTTGTTATTTTAAGAGTAGGTCACTAATGCTAGTGCAGTGTTGCATATACAAAAACGTGGAAAAGTATGTGTTACCTGTTTTGTAAAGATTATAATACAAATTTTTATTATTGCCACCATTTTTGTCCTTTAATAAGAATTATAGAAGTAGTTCTCGGAATGAAGTCTCTGGTGTTATGTTCATGCACAGAATCATTACTGTCTTCAAATTTATACTTTTTAAATATTGTGTTTATATGTTATTAAAACTATTAGTAATTTAGATTAATCTCTTGGAAACTGTAGGAATTACATATTTTTATAGTGTTTAAGTAACAGGTATGGTTTCCCAGCCACTTTGAAGGCAAAGTATTTTATCAACTAATTTACATAGGATGTTTGCATTGTGTATCATGCTTTCATTGATAAGTAGGAATCTTCTGTCCATTCAACTCCATCTGTTTAGCTGGAGAGAAGTAAGTTATAAATACTATGTAGCACAAATAAGCACAATAGGATGATCAGAATCTTTTCTGCAGGAAAGTACTTTATGAAACTGGAGGAGCTGGCATTCGAGCAAGGTCTTTGTGGAGAGTAGAACCCCTTCGAATAAGGTACTGAGATTTTTAAACTTTTTTTTGTTAGCAACGCTTGTTATATTAACAGCACTTTGTTAGAGACCCTTAAGGCAGAATATGACTAATATATTTGTCATGCTATATGATATGTCTTAGTATGTTCTTTTTCAATAATAAAAAGCAATCTACTATCATATAATCATATGGGGAATGCCAGTATTTTAACACTTCTTTTTTTTTTAATCTCCCATACTTAAAGCCTGTGACGGATATCTGCTTGAGATGTCACTTCTGTCCACAAATAAAGTGCTTTCCTTGTTTTCACTCAGAGTTGTAGAGGAATGGGTAGAAATTAGAGCAGTAATATCCCTGCTGTGTTGGATTTTTTTTTGTTTATTTTGTCTTGGTTTGGTTTGTGGTTTTTTTGAGGCTCTGTCTCTTTCCTAGGTGATTAGATATCTGTTATCTTGCTGCAATTGAAATTTCAATATATACCGTAATGTTTGTACATAATATATATATTAAATATATATGTTATATTTTAGCTTTGATGGCCTTCTGAACTGTATATTTGTTTTACCCTTGGTGTGTTTGCGATTGCAAATGAAATACCCTCATAACTAACAGAGGATAATTCTCTCTCACTTTAGGTTTTATTTGTTTGTTTAGTCAGTCAACTAAAATACACTAGTTAATTTACACATGTAGGATTTTTTTATGGATGCCATAGCTAATACCCTAATGAAACAGAGAGAGGGTGTAGAAATAAGATGATGAAAGCTATCCTCCTTTCCAGGGTTCCCTTTGCAAATGTATTAACATTTTTGCATCTGTTTTAATGCAAATATTGAAATCAGAACCAAAAAGGAATATATATAACACGTTCTATTTTCTGAACACCCTTTGAAGCCCAAAATAAGAACATTAGTTTTCCTTAGAATCATAGAATCAACCTAGTTGGAAAAGACCTCAAGGATCATCGAGTCCAACTCTACCATAGTTACTAGACCATGGCACTAAGTGCCACATCCAGTCTCATCTTGCAAACCTCCAGGGACGGTGAATCCATCACTTCCCTGGGCAGCACATTCCAATGCTGTTACTTTATAAATGCAGTTACTTCATAAACTGTTTTTTAATGTCTCTTACATTTAGCTGGAGTGGAAGTAACATCAGATGGGGACAGCCTTTCCGTCTTCGACATATTACAACAGGAAAGTACTTGGCTCTGAATGAAGATGAAGGAGTCATAATATTAGACAGAGAAAAGTCAGACACAAAATCTACTGCCTTTTGTTTTAGAGCATCAAAGGTAAATAAAGTCAATGCAAATTTGTTATAAATGTGACACACTCAATATAGATTTGAGTTGTTTCAGCAACTGTATAAATTGCTTATAATTTCTAAACTTAAGCAAATGTAAACAACCTGAGTTGAAAGTTACAAAGGCCTCCTTGTGGAAAAATAAGGATGATTAATAAACTTAAGAATAAACTAAATTGTTACCAGGTTTGAAAAACAAGATTGAAAACAAATACAATGCAAGATACAGTGGTTTAGTATGAATACTCTTGTAATTTCAGAATCAGTTTAGTTGGACAGAATCTCATTAGACTGTTATACATTCCAGCTCTACCTATCATAATCAAATTCAATTAAATTCAGTTCAGTTGCTATTCTTCATGCAATGTGTTGATAGGAGCTGGACTGAATTCAATTGAATTTTTCCTAAATGCAAGCAATTTCTAAACCATATGTTTCCAAACTATGCTCCTTAGTGAGCAGCTAATTGCATGTTACTAGCTTTTTCATAGTTTCCAGCTGGGAAAAACAGTACAAGTGAGAGAGAATAAAGAATGATTATGAAGGTAAGTGGAATTAATTTTTTTCCCATAAAGTGGCAAGGTTTTTATATTTAAAGATAATTAAAAGTTTTTAATGTGCTTTAATTATTTTACTTATGAATACTTAAAAATAGTTGCCACAATAGAGCTGCTACAATAGAGTTTTTATTATCTAAAACCCTGAATTTGCCAAATAATTCTGAATGCTATATGGTCCCTGAAGGGCAGTGAAAGAGAGTCTTTGAAGTTAGCTATATACTAATAAAATCTAGCATGAGAAGTCTTGACAGTTGCTAGACTTTTGTTAGTATAATAAATCAAATACTTCTTTTTAGCATGTTTAAAATAACAAATGTTTATTAGTGTGACTGCATATGATATTTTCTGAACTTCTATTTTAGCCAATCAACATAATTGAAAAACTATCAGGAAATTTCCTTAGATTGCTAGTTTCTCACCAAATACTTTTCCATTCTTTATTCAGTGTAAAGGCTATGAAGTATAGATTGTACATATGATGCTGAGCAGGAGCATTTCTTACAGCTGTAATTTTTTTCCCACTTTTGGCAAATCATTTCTCACTTTTGGCAAAAAACTTGGTAAGAATAGTAAGCAACCCAGGTACACCACATTTACTGATGCTAAATATTGTGTTAAAATTCCTTTAATATACTTGCTGCCTAATTGGACACTAGCTGTCCTGCTATTTCTCAATATTTTAGTCTATGCATATAAATATATAAAATTTAAGTTGATAGGTTTAGTGTCTATGTAAGCATACTCATAAAATAATTTCTGTTACATTAAGTAAACATGCCCTATCTTCTTACTCTTTTTGTTGCGGTGTGCCTCAAAGGCATATTAGTGAAATTTATTAGACTTCCCAAAATGACTAAACTGAAATACAGTAGTAATTAATGATGCAAAAATCATTCATGCCTACTGTGTTTATACATAATGTAGTTGTAAATGTACATTTTTATTCTAAATACAAGCTCAGTGTGTCATCATCCAAGGATTTGTGCTTTCCTATATAGAAAAGCATATTTTTGTCTAACAATAGGTTATACATTTGCTTTTTCCTGTGCCAAGAATAAGAAATAGTTATTGTCTGGCCCATGGGTAGAGACATTAGGGTTTCCAAAGGTCAGGAGAACAAGCAGTGATAACTCTTTCTGAAGAAAGAAAGGTGAAGTTTTGGAAGTGAACAACCTCAAAGATTGACCTGGGCTGTAAGAAGGAAAGTCTCTTAAAGCCACGTGCTGATGGCAGACAGATTGAGGGGGAAAAACAGAACTAATAGCTAGACTATGTATATGCAAGCATGTTTATTTTAATTTCTGCACATATGTGTTTGTAAACCTTTGATTGGTTTATTTTTTCAATGAATTAATATTATCAGTTGCCTGAACCTTAATATGGCATAAATTCAGGAAAATTTCCAGGTGCCTGTCTAATACCTTCATGTCTGTCTGTGTACATCTTTAAAAATAGGGTGCTGGAATATATGGCTGTTCACAGCATTCCTGTACTTTAGACTCATAAAATAATTCTGATTGGAAAAGACCCTGGGAAATCATCTAGCCCAGACTTCTGCTTGAGGTGTACTCAGCACTGGATTCAGACTGGATTACTCACATAAGTATTGCTGCAGACTATCCAAAAGGAAATAACTTATTTATCCATTGCAGTATTCTTTCCAGTGTGGAACCCAGAGAAAGGGGTTTCTGCAAAAAAAAGGCATTGTCTTTGCCAGAGGGCAGAGCTATGTGGAATACAAATGCCCAAGACCTCCCAGGAGCCTGTAACACATGACTTAAAAAAATTCTTATTTTTCCAGCTGTTAGAGAGTTGTTGTAAAAGCACCTTTATCCTCAGTGTTGTTACATTTCACTTCAGCAGTCTTGTGTGTTCCTTGCTTTTCAAAACCTGTGATTGCATTCATAATGTATTTACTTTCACTGTTTTGTTTCTTTTTGCTGGGTAGCACTTGGAAATTGAAACAGTTATTTTAAATTATAAATTTCAAGTGAGTTTTCCTTAATATGTCCTTACATAAATAAGAACAGAAAGGAACATTTTTTAAAAGTTTAAAATATGCTAAAGGACCTTATGGTACTGGTCTCAATGAAACAGCATGTGTAATGCATGCCTGTTTACTGCAAATAACTACAAACTAAGCTTACAAGCGTCAAAAATTGATGGAAACCCCTCAAAATTACATCTTTTATTGTTTTTAATATGGAACTTACTTTTGACCAAGTTTTAAACTGTCAACCTTTATATTTTAAGGCAACAGATCTATAATACCTTGTGACAACAGAGTTTTCTCTACACCCAATGGAATCCTGAAATGGGATGTTCTCATTCCAGCACAGTACTTGGCTCAGTATACACTGCTGAGCAGAACCTTAGTTCCACATAGAAATTTCTTTCCGACTAAACACAGTGGGAACAAGAACATATTTTAAAATATTTGTGTATTTAAAATTGTTGTAGGCCGTAATTAAAATTTGAGATTTCATACTATATGGGGTTTTTGTGTGATGGTCTATGCAATTGACAACCAAGAAGTTATTGGTAAGTAACATTCTGACACATTCAAAAGTCACAGATGACTCATGCAGAAGGATTTGATATCATTTGAATATTACTGCCAGCATGTAGCTGTCTTAGGGAGTCAACATGACATAAGGATGTTGTAATAGTTTAGTAGTAATCATAAAGTTTAATTTGGCTTTGGAATAAGATGATAGGTATTACAGAGTCCTTTAACTACATTTGTCTCTAAAAGTTCAAGTACTTATTTTTAAGTTCTTATTTTACAGTTATAATTTACCAGTAAGCACTGTATTTCAAATACAGTATTAAACTATTTTTTCTACTTATTTTATATGGGAGGAGAAACTAGAAAGCAAAATGAAAATCACTTTTTTTTCTTGCCTAGTGGGGTGTAGAAATGTATACAGCAAAGTGTACAGAGTACAGTAAGCCCACTAGATAGGTAAGCTTAATATATCAGTCCTTTGCTCCTATATCTGTCGACCTTTTATCTTTTTCTTTTGTTACATTGGAGTAGGTATGACAATACTTTTAAAGCAGTAGGCAACACCAAAAGAAAAAAATTATATTAGCTCATGCAAGTTAGATTTAGTATGAGTTCAGCAGTTAGGTTATTTTACCATTTTTAGGGGTGTGTAAACAAGCCCTTAAGATATCAAAAGTTTTTTCCCCTACTGTGTTTTTGCCATTGAAAAATCTTCATAAAGATGGTTGGGTTTATTTGTCCTGTTCGCACTGTCATTCCTAACCTTCCTACTATCACATAGGAATCTATCTTTCCAATTCTTGCCCTTCCTCTAGTACATTAAATATCTTGTGATCAGTTTTGACAGCTTTGCCCTCAAATTCCTTTGTTCATTCCATCTTTTTTTGTGTGTGTGGGTTGTTGGGTTGGTTTGGTTTGAGGGATTTTTATTTCGTTACTGTTATTTTTCCTGTGCCATTTACCAGGCCTATGATGTCATTTGTTTTCTTTGATGTGATTAATTCATGGCCTGAGGGAGTTAAGCTGAGAAAGGGTTTGGATATTTTATTGCTAAGATATATGCAAATATCTAGATAAGAGGTTTTTGATTTTGTAAACTCCTCTGTTAATCTTCATCTGACTATAATTTTCAGCCATTATAAAATACACCCTGTCTTGCACACTGCTATCAAATTACTTGGCTGACATCCTAGAGAAACTGGGCAGAATGCAAAGAGCAAAACATGACGAAGAGGAATTTATGTTGCATTTCTTAAAGTGAGAGCAGCCCTCAGGAGCTAAAGCTTTATCCTAAAGCTTTATTTCTGAAATTCAAAAACTCATGGGGTTTTTTCTTTTACATTTAGTGTTGTCAGAAAGGACCAGTATCACTCCATTTTTTCCTTTTTTTAAAATAGTGACATAATTAGGATCACTTTATAATTTATTTTCATTGATGCATGATTATTGATGCATATGCAATATTTGAGAACAAAAAGGTTTTAGTATTCAGGATGCCATATAAAGTCAAATAATTAATTGCTGACAGTTAATGAATTTGTGGTATTTTATTGTATTTTTCATTTAATGGTCTCACCACAAATGTGTATTGAAATAGTTCATCTTTATCTGTACATGATAGTGTAGTCCATGCGAATATGATGTGACATGATTTCCCGTAGTCTTGACATTATGATGGTGTCCCCAAGGAATGTCTTGTAATTTCATTCAGCTTCATCTTGGAATTATAATGGTATCTGTTTCAGCTAAAATTATTGTTAAAATGTGACAGTTGAATTCCCTATAAATGAAAAGACGTTAGCATAGCTAATAATAAACAACTTCTGTTTATTCCACAGCTGTTGAGCATTTGGTAACCTGAAATGAAGTAAAAGAACCTGTTATTCATATAAAAATTTAGACTGTGTATCAGTTCCTAACATATTTTCTTTAGTTAGCAACAAATTAACAATTATCTATGCTGAAGTCCATCAGCAGTAGAAATCATAGAAAAATGATGTAATTTAATTATTTATTTAAAGTTTTTTTTGTTTAATCACGTGTATCCATAATTAGCTTTTACAAAATTTGCTACATAATCCTGTTCTTACTCCTGAATTCAGTTTTGATAGGGCAATTATTTTATTTTAAAGAAAAAAGTACTTGCTTTTGTACTAGAGTCTTAAAATCCTCCAGCATTGAGCAATGTCTTTAAAAGAGGTTTGAAAGCATGCAATTCTTCTTATAAAGTGGAAAAATGTAAAAATAAAATAAATTTTAAAAAATAAGAAATGCAAAAGTAAAATAAATATAAAAGCCAAATTGTATTTTTTTTGTTAGCTGTTGCAATATAGAGGCAGTATTCCAAGTGACGTGTCTATTTGCATGTACAATTTATAAGCAAAAGTTCTTTAGCACAAAAATATTTTGACCTCATTTCAAAATAGGTTTCTGTTTATTTTTCATTTTTAAGTTAAAATAAAAAAAAATTAGTTATCTAGAGCTCTACAGACTCTATTAAAGGAAACTTTACTTACATCAGTAACTCCATTATTGAGTAGGTTAAGTTTAAATTTTAAAGATTTTTTTAATATAAATCTTTACATGGTAATGGTTTTACTTGGTTTTTCTTGCTTCAGTGAAAATGATGTTTTAGATTTGAAATTATTTTTAATCACAATCTGAAGAACTAATTGGATAGAAATAGAAGTTATGTGAAATGAAATTTAGCTGCATCTTAACAGCATAAGTAGCATAAATATTGTTCAGTATTGTAACATGTATCAGTGTAGAATGCAGTGCTTTATTCGATTCCAGTATAGATATTAAATGCCAACTTTATTTTATTTTCTTAGGAGCTAAAAGAAAAGCAGGATTCTAGTCTTAAACGTGACATTGATGGAATGGGGGTCCCAGAAATAAAGTACGGTGATTCAATCTGCTTTGTTCAACATGTGGCCACGGCCTTATGGTTGACTTACAAAGCACAGGATGCTAAATCTGCACGTTTAGGTCCCTTGAAAAGAAAGGTAACGTTTGATGTTTCTTATGAAATAAATGTCAGTTGCATAACAGTTTGTAGATTTAGTTGTTTTGTGATTTTATATTGAAAATGTGAATATTTAATTCTAAAAATTGAAACTATGGCAGATATGAGCATAACCATGTAACTGAAAGAAAACTTTGCCACTAAGACACATATTTAGCTGTTTTTCTTGACAGAAGAAACTACTGATTTGGGCTCAGTGTTTATTTTTGACACCAGTAAAGATGGAAATTCCTGATTTCAATAGGTAAATAATTTTTTAAAAAAAATCTACATTTAATTATTTGTAGGTGTAAACTTATAAATCATCTTATATTCAGTGGTGTTTTAGATTTTTTAATTGAATATATTGTGTAAAATGGCAATTAAATTTTTCACTCAAGAAATGGCCCAAGAAAATCCTCAAGTTTCTTAAGGGATAACAATGAATAATTTCCTCCCAAAATGTTAGATGTAATTGTGATATGATGTGATAGCAAGAAGGTCTTCTCAGCCTTTTGATTATAGGATACGGATATATTCTTAATTAGGGGCATATGACCCATTATATCTTCAAATTCTGTTCACATTTCATTCAGAATTCAGGGGTTTAGTACTAGTTTCGCATAACTGTGTCATTATGAAATGATTCCTTGATTATCTATTCATAGATTTTTATGACTTAAACCTATCATTAGAATATGTCAAAGAAAAAAAGTTCATTACTGAAAAAGGGTTGGAATTCTTCTTTAGTTACTTGTACATATGTACATTCATAAGAGGATGCCTGTACAGAAGCACTGTAGTACAAAACAATGAGGTCCTCATCGCACACCCTTGGCACAATTGCATTTATTCTTAAGCAGCACACGTGGTCATCAAAAATGGACAGGGAGTGCCCAGCCCCTTCACTTCTCAGCAACCTGGCTGATCAGAGAAATTCTTTGTATGCCAGTCATTCAGTATTTTCTTGATCAAAAATGAAATCACACAATGACAACCTCTTCCTTTCCCATGCCAGAACTGGCTATGACATTCTGTTTCCTCAGAGGGTCCAATTATACTTCTTGAAAAGGCGGCATGTAGATTCTTCTTCTGTATTCAATGAAGAATTTTACAATAGCTTCCTGTGAACTTTAGTATATTGTTTCCCCAGTTTTTTGCTCAGCAGCAAGGGACTCCATAATTACCTGTCACTTTTATTCTTCTGTGAAACTGTTTCATTCATGTTCAAAGACTTCAGATCTTTTGTTGCCCTCTCACCTGGAGAATTCCATCTCGTTACATGCCTTCAAAGACAAGAAACCCCAAGCCTTTTACCTTTCAGTAACTGATATTCCTGTGGAGGCAACAAAGAGTTTTTCATCCTCTGCAGTACATGGTACTCCACTATAATTTTGTAAGCAAGTTTAGAGGTATACTTGTCTTTAAATTGCATATAAAATTTTATTCTCTGTAGTAAAAGCGAAGTCATAGCTTTGTGTTCATTCTCTGCCATCATTGTGTCAGGAGACGCTTACTTTCACTCACTGTAGTCCTCAAGCTGACCTGCACTTTTTATGACGTGATTCATTAGCCCTAGGAGGACAGAGAAATACCTTGTTTTTGCAAGAAGCAAAGGGTGCTTTATTTCCACAGAACCTAGCTATTATCACTGTCAGCTGCTGCAAATCTGGAGAGCAGAGAAAACAACTATAGGATTAGCTGTGTTGTAAATTACTAAAAAATCCAAGAAAAACTTTATATTGTTTGATCTTTGGTGCAGTTTCATATATATACTTATTACACTGCCTTTGCAAGACACAAATATGAAGGAAATTCTGGCATCATTCATGAGGCTTTTGTTGCATGATCTGTTATATCTCTCTTAGATCATGGTAACCACAGATTCAAGACTTTGCCAGGTAATTTTGATGTTTATATCAATATTCTGATCAACATCCCTCCACCATCCAGTGCGTGGTAGACATCTATCTTTCCAGTCTGAGAGCTTGTTTCTATGCGAACAATGAACTCCTGCAGAGTTTCAAAATGCTGTGCTCAGAGAACAAAGAAACATTTCCTCCATGTTTTGGATTCATGTCCTGGAGGCCATTGCTCATGCTGCTGGTCAATGCTTTGCTGTAAGTCAACATGCAAGGCAGTGCCAAATGCCCCTTTTCATATGCAGAGAAGTGTTTTATCTGAGGAATTGATGTAGGCAGTGCTGGATGCTTCTGGCTGTGATCTACTTACTGGTGTTCTAAATAGCACTTTCTTGTCATTGTGGTGTTTCTGGATAATTTAGTTGATGTTTGGATTGTTTGTTGGTTTTCTGGGTTTTTTTTTTTGGTCAGAGAAATCTAAAAGATTAGGTCCTTCTAAAAGACTTCTCACTCTCAGGGAGAAGAGTGTGTATCTGCTCTACAATGGTGAAGATGCAATTCCTTTCACGTCATGGCAGCTTTAATATCCTATCTATCAAATGTTTTCATTCCTGTAGGTCAAAATCTGGAGCTACATGCAATGATTGTCAAACATTATCTTAGTAGTTTTGTGGTGGGAAGAGCAGTTCTACATTTATTATTCAGTTTAGAAACATCAGGACCCTTCTTTATGGAAATGGTGATATTTAAGCTAGCAAGGTCTCCCAGACCGAGCGTCTATATAAAGAAGTACTTGAACAGAGTAGAAATATGACCAGTATGTAAACTGGTCTCCTTTAAGGTAATATTGTTAACGTAATCATTCAAAAGTATCTTTCCAGTCTTCTCCATTTTTTTGTGCATTCCGGTGTCCAAATAAACTCAGAGGGTGATGTTTGTCTCTTAAAAGCACTTCCTCACTATGTTTGAAGGAACAGATCACATGTGTAATCTAGATTCTGCAGACTATCGAAAAATATTGCTTTCCAGTGCTTTGGTATATCTATATACTAATATGTACAAAAAAGCTCTTGGTAAATAACTTTCCTATTTGTGGCAGTAACAACTGATATAACATTGTTAGCTTCTTTGTTAACTATTCAGTGCCTTCAGAATTACTCTGCTGACTGGGAAGGTGGGTTGCAAATTTTTACTAACTTAGAGCTAAAGAAATATTTTTTCAGGAGATAATTCAGTAGATCCCATCTTGGACAAAGAAGCAGGATAACTCATATTTAATTCTCACAGCATTGCTGTAGGATTTTAATGACTCAAAATGACCAAGACTTATTTTCATGATACCTAAAAGTTATGCTGCCTTTCTGTGAACTTGTATGTTTATTTAAAAGGAAAGATTAAAACCCTACCAAAGGATCTCCTATTGCTTGAGGTTCATATGATGTTTACATCTGGTTGTGATAAGTATCCAACATAATGTATAGAAACAGTTAAATGAGTCAGACGTTGCTCATAAATGTTGTTGCTCCTTTAGCTGTGTTGTAATTTTTATGATGTTTGTCACTCCAACTAGATTTTTGTCAATAGTCTTTTCATGAATGAATCTTATAGTAAATGATGTTTAAGATAGTGAAGATTCTCTTTC